GAGGTAAATTTTTGCGGCTGGAGCTGGGCATAACCCGAAAAGGTCGTTAGGAGGGGCGTTCGTATCCCGGTGGACCACCGGATTATAGAATAAACTTTAATGGACCAGAATCCACTTCATCAGATGCAGAATTGCATTAAAATGTGTGTAAAAGTTTAAATAAATCACATCAGAGTGTTTTGCATTGGAATGCTTTGAAATAATTATGTGCTTTAGCAGAAGAACATTTAAATAGGCCAGCTCCCTCTTTTGTTATTGGAACAGAATGATTTTGTTAAAAAAATAAAATAAGCTTGTTGGATGTTGTGGAAAGGCCTGAAACAGCAGTGAAGTATATATTCGTTTTTTTGTTTCTGAAAGAGAACTACCAATCATGCCTTGTTTGCAGAGTGCAATGCTTCTGATTCTTCTCAGTCTGGCTTATACTGTACTATTCAATCGATGTTTGGTTACTGTATTCAGATTACAGTGGTACCTCGGTTCACGAACTTAATTCGTTCCGTGACTCTGGTCACAAACCGAATTGGTCGAGAAGCGTATCAAATTTTCCCACACGGTTCAATGAAAATACAGTTCATCCGTTCTGACCCCTCCAAATTTGGTCGCCAACCGATTTTTGATCGTGTCGGTTCAATGTAAATACGGTTAATCCGTTCTGACCCCTCCAAATTTGGTCGCCAACCGATTTTTGATCGTGTCCCGAATCAAATTTCCTCATAAGGTTCAATGTAATTACGGTTAATCCGTTCTGAACCATATGTTGTTGTTTTTTTAAACTGCAAAAATATGACACAAAGTACAGCACAAGAGAGAGAAAGCTAACCTTGCTCGACGCAACTTCTGGTGTGGAGGACAGGAAGGCGGGTGGGGAGGCGGATATTGCTTGGAGGGAGAGTCCCCCTCCCTACAGAAAGCTGCGACCACGTGTCACGGGAGGGAAAATGGCCGCAGATCCTGTTCGTAACCCGATGCGGAGTTCGCAAACAGAGGCAAAATTTTGCGGCCAAAGCTGTTCGTGAACCGAATTGTTCGTGAACAGGAGCGTTCGTGAACCGAGGTACCACTGTATATGAAACAAAAATCTAGTTTTCCACTTGTGGGTAGAGTTTTATGCAAAGAGGTATTAAAAATGGTATTGACTACTTGCAAAATTCTACTATCTCATCTCTCCTGTGGCAAGTAGACCATGGTGCAGCGAAATGCTGCCAAGGATACTGTGCACACAATGGTTATGAGTGAGGACTTCGTGGGGTCTTGTCCCCAATCCACCAGGTCAGCTATTAACCAGAACAAGCTATAACCCCCAAGGTCTCCCAGACTTGTTCTCTGGCCAAAGATTCAAATACAGCATGGCTTCTCATGGTTGAGAGACTAAGTCTTTAGATTGCAAGAATAAAGAAAGCAATAGAATAGCAAATACTCATGAGTGGGTGTGATTAGGAACAAATTCCATGGTCTAACAAAACCAGCACACCATAAGCACATGGGACTGTGATGCCAGCTTAGAGATTTTGTGATGTCAACTTTGGACTTCAAAACATTTCCCAAACCTTTCCTTAAGAGATTGGCTCATGGCAGCTTCACCTACCCCACCCATAGTGAGAATGAACAAAATATGTATCTCTCGCATACACTGCATTAAGTATCAGTCACAAATGGTAAAGGACGCACACAGACACATGTATTCTCCCCAGAGACTAATTGGGGTATGGTGCGTTCCTACTGCATGTATATTTGTGTGCGTGAGGGTGTTGCACACCCTCCTTGCTGTGGGGGTCTTTTCCTTTATTTTTGGGTTCTACTGCCATCACTAAACCTCTGTGAGGGCTTAGAAATTCTTTAAGTCTCTAAGAAAACATAACTGGGTAAAATATGGGGAAGGTCTAGGATAGCACATTCCCTTAGTCTAAATAGGAGGAAAGGAACAAATCGACTTTTATTACATAACTGAAATGGGTTTTAAAACAAGTTCATTTATTTCTACAAACTATCTCTAGATATTCCATCACTAGTAGGCTATCCTAGCCCTACAATTATTCCCCACCTGTTCCCCCAACAGGGGAAGTATTCCCAAGCTTGTACTCTGAGCTTCCTTCACCCTTCTCCTTCCACAGGCGACTCCCAAATCCTTCCCTAGTTCCCTGTCCAGCTGGAATATACCTGAGGAGGAAGTGCCCAGTGTTGCCATCCTTGGATTGGCAGTTCCCAGAGGGTCTAAACAGGGTGGGCGCAGATGTGTTGCCTCTGTATTTCTGCTCTCCCCTCATGTTGCATGCCTGTGTGTGTGCATGAGTGTGGCTATGTACGCGCACGCACACACTGGGAAGTGTCGAGCAGGCTGTGTATGATGCACTCTTATCCACAGGACCAGAAGGGAGAAGGGAGGGGCTTAGGAGGGCAGTTGGCAGCATTCCCAGCCTTTGCCCATCTGCCTCTCCCATAGGATGCATTGAGGGGATTTTCTCTGGAATGTTTTTCTCCTCAGCCCCAAGCTGCATCCAGTCCATTTTCAAACTCCATCTTTCTTTTACTGGTTTCCTCCACTGTTCCAAATTTGGTCCCATTCTGTTTAATTTTCAGAGAGTTATCCTACTGCCTGTTTCCTGAACCCCTTCACATAATTTCTTTCCGACATGCCATGGGGTTGGACAGAATAAAAACCATTCAGTGAACCAATTTGCAGGAAATCCTCTTTCTAGGAGTAGACAACAAGTCCTATAGAAACCTGGGAGAAAGACGAGAAAGGGCCCCACTCTTAATACACTCACAGGAGAAGACACTGTTCACGTACTCAGGTTTTGTGTTTGCGTGTGTGTGCCTTTGAGTCATTGTTGACTCCTGGAGACTGCCTGGACTAATCCCTGCAGTTTTCTTGGCAGGATTTTTTGGAAGTGGTTTGCCCTTGCCTCTTTCTTCTTCCTAGGGCTGAGAGAAAAGAATTGGCCCAAGGTCACCCAGCTGGCTTTGCGCCCAAGGTGGGACTAAAATTCACAGCCTCCTGGTTTCTAGCCTGGTACTTTAACCACTACACCGAACTGGCTCTCTCACATACTCAGTACCACAGTGTCAATTAGATCTGAAAACATCATGCATTAAACCTGTTTATTAAATTGCAATAATATTCTATTAACAGTTACAAAATCTGGCTGCATATTTGAGATGCCATTAATAAAACAAGAGTACTTCAGGAAGGAAAGATCCATACAGAGCAGGAATCCTTGCAAAAGAGAAATGAAAAGAGTTTTGGTGAGAGAGCTCCAATCCCATTAATTGAAAGGATCTTCTCTCTCTTCCGTCATGGAATGAGTGTTTGGAAGGCTGACAGTCTGTCTTAGCCCATGTAGGTGCACGTGAAGGTAATAATAAAAGTGTACAGGTAGTCCTTGTTTAGCGACCACAATTGGGACTGGCAACTTGGTCGTTAAGCGAAGCGGCTGTTAAGTGAAACTGTGATGGTGCTTATGATCTTACTTCAGCTTTCCTGTGCTTTACAGACCTGCAAAGGTTGTAAATGCGAGGATTGGTCATAAAGTTGCTTTTTCATCACTGTTGTAACTGCAAATGGTCACTAAATGAGGCAGTCACTAAACAAGGACTACATGTATAGCACTCTGATCTAAAATGGGAAAGGTGTTTTAGGTCTGCTGTGACATGCCTGTCAGCAGCAACTTAAAGAAGCTACACCTTTATCAGGTCTCACTGTGTGACACTTTTCCTTAAAGAGCCACCGACAGGTAGAGTGAGTGTGCCCACACCAGACCCAAAACACCTTTCCTGCTTTGTATCCAAATACCTGTGTGCAAGTGTGAAACCAAGATTGAACCATCAGCTGCAGAGGTCTAGTGGAAATTCTGCCTTGCCCAGCAGAATGGCTCTCAGTACATTTGGTTAGGATAAGGCCACAGGGGCAGGAAAGAGACCGGATTTTCTCCCGCATGGATCCTCTGGTGCCTCTTGTGATGAGAACTCCGGCTGAAGCTCTTCCCGCAGTAACTACAGGTATAAGGTTTCTCTCCCGTGTGGATGCGGTTATGCTGCGTGAGGGTGGATTTGTCAGTGAAGCTCTTCCCACAATCAGAGCAGGTGTAGGGTTTCTCCCCTGTGTGGATCCTCTTGTGCCGGATGAGGTTGGAGCTGACGTTGAAGCACTTCCCACAATGGTTGCACTCAAAAGGCTTCTCGCCCGTGTGGATGCGCATGTGTTTGACCAGGTCTGAGGTCTGGTTGAAGCTCTGCCAGCATTCTGCACACGTGTGGGGGATTTCAAAGGGAGAGTCTTGCTTCTTAGGAACTCTGCTCCTTTGAGCGCGGCCAGGAGCTGAGCTGGTGGAGTTGCTGACCGCAGTGGTCTCTGGGGGAGTGCAATTGCTCTGCCATTTCCCTGGCGGGCTCTTCAGATGCCGCTTGTGATGGGAACTACGGCTAAAGGTTTTCCCACAATCAATACACTGGTAGGGTTTCTCTGCTGTGTGGGTTCGCACATGTTGATCCAAAGTCGACTTGTCTGTGAAACTTTTCCCACACTCTGAGCAAAGATGTGGCTTCTCCCCTGTGTGAACCCTCTGGTGCCTGCTCAGGTTGGAACTGACGCTAAATGCTTTCCCACAGTCAGAGCATTTATGTGGCTTTTCTCCTGCATGGATTCTCTGGTGGCTCATCAGATCCAAACTCTGAGCAAAGGTTTGCCCGCACTCCGTACAGATGTTAGGGTTCTCCCCTGAATAACTCCTCTGGGGGGCAGTGGTGCCCTTTCGCTTCCTGGCCCTTTTATTGGGGGTCCCTGCTTTGCCTTTCTCTTTGCCTTTCTCTTCTGCCAAAAGCAGGCTCTTCTGCTGGTCTTCCAACTTCCACCGACCCTTCAGACGTCTTTTATGACTGGATATTGGAGGAAGTTTCCCTCTGGATCTTTTTGGAGGCATTATGAAATGGAAAGTTCTTCTTTGAGGTCACACCTGTATTTCCATAACCTGTTCAGAGACCATAAATAAATAAATAAATCACAAAGTCCACATAAAGTACCACCAACTTTTATTATTAATACAGTAGAGTCTCGTTTAACCGACCTTCGCTTATCCGACATTCCGTCTTATCCGACG